ACAGATTGTATTGTGTTTTATAGGCAGCACTTTAAAATAAGGTTCCATTAACATGATATCAGTGTTAATTTTTACATTATTAAAATCAAAAGATGTATCTGTTAATATAATCTAATGGACCTGAGCCAACATGAACTAACAAGTTGTATTTTTATTTACTAACTTAAAAAAGAGGAATACATACTGTAATAAATGCATCGCTCATTGTTAGTCAAGGTTAGTTCTTGCATTAACTAATGAGACCTTTTGTAGATAATATCCTGACAGAAAATCACCAGTGTCTTTTACATTTTCTACATTATTCTCTTTCTTTTTTTCTTCCCAGTTAACATGAGATATTTATTACTTTGTAAGTTCATTTGACACACAGGACCATGTAAAAGGTCATTAAAAATTGGAGGAAAAAATGGTGAAAGTTACAGGACCTTAGCTTAGATTTATTTTTAATTAGATCTACTGAGATTTTTTCCCTCTCTTAAATACACGTACATTTGAACCTAAAAAGTTCATAGACAACTGCCCACATGTAAAATAATTTATATATCATAAATATATATTGCAATCTCAATGTCACTGCATCACTCATCATAGCTAACCTTTTTTAGAGTTGCACCCAAGGGTGCTGGAGGACCCTATGCGATCCAGCCGTCCCCCGAAACAGCCAGACAGGCTTTTGCTCCGGGTTGACATGAGGAGATCTACGAGGCGGTTTCTCTGCGTCTCGAATCCATCCGAGGGTTTGCTGTCCTCCGCCGGAGCTGCTTCTTCCTCTCTGTCTCTGTCCCAGGACGTGTTGCTGTCCTCATAATCCACGGCTCTCTCAGGAGCCTCTTCTGCGGCCAGAGCCTCCTCAAGCTGCTGCAGCAAGCTCTGGAGAGCAGAACAGAGTCAACCTAGCCATTCTGTTGAAACGTTTTCTAATGTACTATGCTTGTAGTATTCTTTGCATGCTCGAGATGATATTAATGTTTTTTTTCCTGTTTGGATCACATTAAATCTCATTCAGTTTAAGGCTTCGATGAAACTAACACCGTAAAAAAATGACCAAAAACTGTAACATCTAAAACAACTGGTTTTATTCAAGTCTGAAAATACGATTTAAAGGGAAAGTTCACCCAAAAATGGAAATTCTGTCATCATTTGCTCAGCATCATTCTTGAGAAAGTTGTTCCAAACCTGAATGATTTTCTTTCTTCTGTTGAAAATAAAAAGACATTTTGAAGTATGTGGGTTACCAAACAGTTTCTGGTCCCCATTGACGTCCATACTATGGAGAAAGAAAAAAAAAATACTATGGAAGTCAATGGGTGCCATCAAGGGTTTGGCTACCCACATTCTTCGAGATATCTCCTTTTGTGTTCGGCAGAAGAAAGAAACTCATATAGGTTTGGAACAACTTAAATTTTCATTTAAGGGTAGACCGTCCCTTTAACGTTCAGTCAGCCAACCTATACATCCATTTATACAAAAAAAAAAACATACTTTTATGCGTTGAGGTAGAAAAGGCGTGCAAGCTGCCACTTTTTATCATAGTTACTAGAGTAAACAGATCCAAAAGTTCTCATTTCACTGCGAGTTCTCTCAATATTTATTTATTTTTTTAAGGGTTCAAAGCAGAAATACCTTCAGCTTGGCCATGTTGCTGGCGGGACTGTGTCTGCTCAACATGTGCGCTTGTACCTCCATCTGGTGCCAAAGCAGGACCAGTAGTCCTGTGAGAATAAGTCCTCTGATCATCTCTGGGTTCCTCTGGCTGCTGGCTCTTTCTCTCTGAACTGGCCGTCTGCCTGCTTGGCTCTTATATAGGGACAGTTGACTGTCAGGAGCTCATCCTCTGTAAACTGTGTGAAGTGCATTCCGACACCTCGTCTGTGATAACGCTCCTGGAGCAGATTTCCTTTTAAGTGTCTGTTTGGTGCGGTGAGAGGTGGCTCGCTGGAGAACTCCTGATGTGTGGTGCTGGGTCTGTAACTCGGACACAAACAGTGACCACAGGCATCATGGGGAATGCATCCGCTGCACGAGTGGCTCACATGGTTCCAGCATCACCTCACCACTGATACAAACTACAGCTAACTATACCATAAGGGGTTAAAACAGATGATGGTCTATATATAGGCCAGTGATGATGACTGAAATGATGACTTTATGGAGAAATAATAAGGTAACAAACCGGAACCTTTACTCATGTGCATGTTAATGATAACTGAACTAATTTCTGTAAAGTAGTTAATAGACATTGTAATACCATTGGCAATCTAAATTCTTAAGTGAAAATATGTTTCTTCGGCGAAGAAAATGAGTGAAGTGTAGTTATTTGTCTGGCAAATGGCTAAATCTAAAATAATGTGGTTAATGTTTTGTTGCAGAATAAATGATGTAGCTGATAGGGGAGAATGAAACTTGTTAAATGTTTTACTCCAGTGAATATTATATATGTATAATACTATCAAAAGTAAAAGCCATCTTCCATATCATATCTGTATTTAAAATTGATTAAACGATAAACAACTATAAAACAGGGTTATTATACTTAACTAAGTACTATATATATATATATATATATATATATATATATATATATGTGTGTG